TAAAGAATTTAAGAGACAAAACAAACACAAACAAGAAGAGAAAGAGAGAGACAAACCAAGAAACAGACTGTTAACAATAGAGAACAAACTGGTGATTACCAGAGAGGAGGTAGGTGGTGAGGGGATGGGTGAAATAGGTGATGGGGATTAAAGAGTTCACTTATCACGATGAGCACTGAGTAATGTATGGAATTGTTGAATCCCTGTATTATCTACCTGAGACAAATATAACACTATATTTTGACTACACTGAATTAATATTTAAAAACTTAATAAAAAAATCCCTAAAGAAGTAGGAAAATATTCCATACTAATGGATTTAAATTCTCAATATGGATTGAAGATGACAATGCTCCCTGTCGATGTATAGGTTAAATGCGATCCCAATCAAAAGCCCATCAAGGTGTGTGTGTGTGTGTGTGTGTGTGTGTGTGTGTGTGTAAGTTGAAGGGCTGATTCTAAAATGTTCATGTGGAAATGCATAAGATATAGAAAACAATCTTGAAGAAGAACAAAGAGGACCTTCCACTACCAAATATCGATTACTACTACAAAGCTATAGTAAGTAAGACAGTGTTATAATGGTGAAAGGATAGAACGGAATAGAAAGCCCAGAACCAGTTCCATATATATTTGGTTACCTGACATAAGATCAAGGCACCGCTGCATTTATATATACTGTGATTCCATTTATAAAAATAGCAAGAACAGGAGGGGCGTCTGGCTGGTTCAGTCAGAGGAGCATATGACTCTTGATCTTGGGGTATTGAGTTCAAACCCCATTCGGTGTAGTGATTACTAAATAAATAAATAAAGACACTTTTAAACAAAATGCAAGAACAGGAAAAACTAATTTTTGATGAAAAAAGTCAGAATAGTGGTTACCCATACAGGAAGAGGTGACTAGAAAGGGGCACAAGAGAACCATCTACATACAGGAAATATTCTAGGTCTCTCCTGGATTATGGCTATACAGGTCTATATGTATTCAAAATCTCATAAGCTGTATGCTTGATATTTGTGCATTTACTGGGTTTGTGTTGTACTACAATAAAAAGTTTTAAGAATATAGAAAGGAAAAAAATAAAAACACTTTTTAAGTGGGAATCACAAAGCTATGGTGATAAATGCCCTAACATACTAAATTCTTTTAAACGTTACAAATACTGAAAATGACACATATACAAATATTACTTTGAAACTGGATGTAAACTATATTAATACTACAAATTTGAATTACAGATCCTTCACAAGCATGAATATAAGGGTTTTTATATGCAAAATTGTAATTAATAAATTTAAATGATATAAATAAAGTAAATATAAATGATAAAAAATAAATAAATAATACATTTAAATGATATAAAGAAAAACTTTAAAAAAATCTTTTGAGGGGGCCTGGATGGCTCAGTCGGTTGAGCGTCCGACTTTGACTCAGGTCATGATCTCACAGTTTATGAGTTGGGGCCCCATGTCAGGCTCTGTGCTGACAGCTCAGAGCCCGGAACCTGCTTCAGATTCTGTGTCTCCCTGTCTCTCTGCCCCTTCCCTGCTTGCACTCTGTATCTCTCTCTCTCAAAAATAAATGAACATTAAAATTTTTTTTAAATCTTTTGAAAAAATTTTAAAGAGACTGTGTGCATATTAAAAAATGCAAAAGGAAGAAAGAATTGTGCACTAAAAAATAAATTTCCCTCTAGTCTGTCCTTTTGGCTTACAGACTGCTTTTTCAGAGGCAATTACTTTCCTGTGTATCTTTCTAGAAATACACAGGCACATCCACAATCATATATGTACACATTGTTCTCACGTACTTTTTTTGAAGATGGCAAAATACTATACATGCTGTTCTGCAACTTGATTGTTTCAGTTAGTAATATTAGGGATTCATTCTCTATCAGGAAACAGTTTTTCTTAATTTTTCAAAAGCTCTAAAAAATATTCCATTATTTGGAAGTATCATAATGTATATAACTGGATTTCTACTGTTTCTGATTTCTGTGGTAACAAATCATGCTGCAATAAATATCCATGTGAGCACATATCTATTTATTGAGTATATCAGCAAACACCTTAGTTGTTTGCTTTTTGATGTTTATTTTACTGCATTTCCACGATTGCATTATATCACTTCTCCCTTTGTGATTCAATACAGTGCTTAGTTATCAATGTCTACCCAGAGGGATACAGAACAGAACATAGTGATAAGCTAGAACTAAACCCTGTCCTCTGGAAATTTGAATCTTAGTGAGGGAAAAGAAAACAGGGCAGATGAACACATATTTTGCAAAGTTTTTCAAGAATAATATACCTGACCTGAACCATGTGAATCTTGTGTTTAATTTAGATCTATTAGTTATTTAGTGTATGAAGGAAATCCTTCTGAAAATTCAAGCGTGCAATTTATAGGTACCTGTTGGTCTGGTTTGTCTTTTCCTTCCTTACTTCCATTCTTTTTTCTTTTTTACTTTATTCTTTGATCTTTATTTTAGTCTCTATAACTTGATTCTTATTTCTTTTATTTTACTTACTTTATTCTTATTTATACTTTATCCTATATTACTTTATTCAACTTGAGGGATAAGCCACTGAGAGTGGGCTGCTGGTAAATTAATGCCAAGGAAAGAAAAGAGAAAAGATCTTCTTAAGGTCAAAAGGATGCAATTGTTTTTCCTTTTGCAAATTAAGCTCTTTTAGTAATAATTAAGTCCTGGGGCTCCAAAAGTCCCTGTGCCCCAGGAGAGCTGGGATGATGGATCGGACAGCTCAGAATCTGACTGTAGCAGCTAAGTGTGTGCTTTATGCTTCATCATCTCAGAAGCTCACTGAGGAGTAATCTTCATGCTAAATAATTTTGCTTAGTCAAACACCATTGAAGCATTCGAGCCTTGGTTTGAGCCTGGACAAACTGTTGTTGTTATTGTTCTTTTAATGTTTATTTATTTATTTTGAGAGAGAGAGAGAGAGCAATCAGGGGAGGACAGAGAGAGAGGAAAGAGAGAAAGACAGAGAATCTCACGCAGGCTCTGCATTGTCCGTGCAGAGCCTGAAGCCAGGCTCAATCTCACGAACTGTAAGATCATGACCTGAGCCGAAATCAAGAGTTGGGCGCTTCACCGACTGAGCCACCTAGGCGCCCCTCACCTGGACAAACTCTTAAAGCCACCAATAGGTCATAAGTCCTTCACTAGCTCTTAAAACAACTTCACGGTTGATTTCTCTCTGTTAAAACAGCAATGTACCTTTCTACTTTCCTGAATGGACCCTGCCCGATAGAATGAAAATTTATAAAAATATGCCATGAAGTTATTAGTTCTATATCTAGGAAGACATTTGGAAAGAGAAGTTTTATAAACCCAGATGAGCATTGAAGGAAAACCCAACATCTTCTAACTGTCCCCATTCACCAAGGGTTTTGATTTTATAAAGAAAAATCCCCAGAGGATGGAATAAAGTGAGTTTTTGCTAGTTCTAAATATGAATAATTTGATTCAATGTTTTCTAAATACCGAAACTCTGATGCTCTCTAAAGCATTGAGTATTTAGATATAACAGTTTTATGTCCCTGATGGGTGATAAAATTATCCATGTAAACGACCTGAAGCTTAGTGTTTAGGACTATGGTGCCCTAATAGAAGCACCTTCCCCCAGGGATCATGAAAATACTCACATGGTGAAAGAAGTTTTCGCTTTTCATTTGGTTGGTTTGAAGCAATGGTTCTTATTGCTTTTTGCATGGTTAGGATCCTCATTTGGAAAATTATGGACTTCTTGCAGTATGAATATCACTGACCCGTGCATGGTAGCCTAAGGAAAAAATACTGATAGGAAAAGATAGGATTCTACAGGCAGAGAGAGAGGGAAAGGATAGGACCTGAGGTCCCTGGGTGGGGAAAAACACATTTTTTGGAGCAATGCTGGCAAGTCTGACCACAGCGAACCCCTTCAGGCTTAAGGGTCCTCTTAAGAATGCAACAGACCCCACCTACTCCCCCTCAGGTTTCCCTCAGGAATTTGAGCAAAGATAAGTAGAACTCAAAATAAGTAGACCATAAAACGTATGACTCACAAGGAATGGCATGGCCATAGACCATCCCTCAGACAATGGAAATGAGCCAATCAGGAATGGACAACCCAGCACCTAATTACCAAGCCAATAAGCATAGAACCTGAGAAGAAATATGGGGGAAGGGAAGCAGGGGGCGACCAGAACCTTACAAGGACTCTTGCCTATAGTCGTCAGGCATTCACTTTCCAAAGTCCCCTCTCTTTAAACAGAGCTATGAAAGCTCTCTTTACGAAACTATTCTTCCTTACTGATCTCATACTCTAATAAGCTTTCGCCTGCGGCTCATTTTGTGCCCCCCTCTTCATTCTTTGAAGAGACTAGACAAGGAATCCCCGGTACTGAGGTAAGAAATCCTGCAACAGTATAAATGAATCAACTTTTCACCAGGGATTAAAGAACTCAGTGCTTCAAAACACCTGTCATTTGGCAATAAATGGAGTAAGCACTTTTTTAGATTTTAACCAAATTCTCTCCTTTCTCACTCTTTCTTCTTTGCTTCCTTATCCCCGCCCCCCCCCTTCCTCCCTTCTTTTCACTTTTTCTCATTTGTCTCCACTTTGGCCTTGTGCTAGCCTATTCCATGCTGTTCCTCTGAAGCCAAAGGGACAGTAGGACACTGATTTGCCCTCCCAGAGCCAATTCTCTGGTGCCCTGCTGTAATGGCTTTGCCGGCAGCACATGGAAGATTGTTAAAGGACACGCCTGTCAAAAGCAGGACTGAAGGAGGTAATGCAGCCTCAGGAGGCATATTTTGGGTGTACACGCTGATGACAGGATAGCCTGCCAGGGCTCCACCTATAAGAACTTGAGCCTAAGTGCCTTTTGTGGTCGGGTGTCAGCAGAGAGGAGAGCCGCGAGACACAATGAGCAGTTGTGTGGTAAGAAACCTTGGCACAACAGATATTTCATCTCACAGTGACTTTAGCTCCAAATTACCTAATTAGCCAGACAAGGTCTGGTAAACAAGAGGAGAATATATTAAAAGAAGAAAAAGATCAGATACATTCATCCTTTTTCTGATTTATGTTGAAAGGAATCAAATTTAAAACACTGGTCTAAAAAATAAAGCCAGATGACTTTTGTTTTTTTTTTTTTTTAATCACCGAAATTCTAAACAGGCCATGATAGGAAAACCCACAGCAGTTCTTTCTGGAATTTGATTCACAAGCAAGCTCCCTTACCTAGGAAACTATTGCGTAAGTGATGTACGTCAAGGTAAGATAAAATCATTTTTCCCCACAGAAATAGTCTCAGAAGTAAAGCAGCTGAACTATGTCACAAGCAAGAGAAGAAAAATCAGACCTGAGTAAGCAGGTTTGATATGTCCTTTCCTAAAATTTCCACTGTATTTGTAATACATTATTGAGCTAGATGAATGTTTTCCTTCTTATTTTGGAGAAATAAATATATATTAGTAGAATTTTAGGTATTTAATGCTTGGGGAAAATTATTACGTGAGTCCTTTTTCATTTTTTCTTTGCAATTCTGAGGGACTTTTGTGTTTTTGAAATCATTATTTCAGTCCTTGTTTGTTTCCTTATTATGTTATCTTTTCCCTTAAATAATTAAATTTCAACTAAAAGACAATGCAATGCTTGCTCCTCTCCAGAGTTGTTTGCAAATGTTTCTTTTTACTTCTTAGGAAAAAAAACTAACAATTTTCTATGCTTGCATTGGGTGATTGTTTACAGTGCTGTCATGCATTTGGCCCCCGGAAATGTAACTGGTAAAAAGAAAAAGAAGCGTAATAATAATATCCTAGGTTGAAAGTGAGATGTCTTAGTGGGCTTAACTTTATTTAATCTTATTAAAAATTACTGTATATCTTTTGGAAGTGAGTCTTTAACCTAAAGGAATCTAGTCTGTTATGTTCTTTTTTTTTTTTTTTATGTTTATTTTTGAGACAGAGAGAAACAGAGCATGAACAGGAGAGAGTCAGAGAGAGAGGGAGACACAGAATCGGAAGCAGGCTCCAGGCTCTGAGCTGTCAGCACAGAGCCCTATGTGGGGCTCGAACTCACGGACCCTGAGATCATGACCTGAGCCGAAGTCGGAGGCCTAACCAACTGAGCCACCCAGGCGCCCCTGTTATGTTCTTAAATAACAAACAAAAGCTGGGCTGCACTTGATTTCATGACAATTTCTTTGTTTAACAAAGCAGTAGACCAGCAGTCATATTTGCATTTGCTTACTTGCTTTTGTAATTTGGGACCAAGAGTTTATGATAGGGGCTTAAAGCACTATTACCTTTGACATTACCTTCACAATTCACACGCGTAATGACTTTATAAGTAAATAAGTTTAAACACTTCCCTAATATAGGTAACCATGCATCAGAAACATGAGATAATGCTATTAAGTTTGGGCAGCTGTTTCATACCCTGCTTCCTCCCACAAAAAAATAAATAAATAAGATGAAATAAATGATATTCACTTTACACACCTAGGAGGTTAAGTTGTATCAATTCTTTCAGGCATTAAATTTTCAAAAATGAAACTTCAAACTCCAAAACTTATACCATAAACGATTGAAGAGTGTCTATTTTGTATGAGAATGCTGTCTGTCTATGGATATGCAGTGAAATGCTTAAGAAATTTTTTGGTACCTGTCAGCTATCTTTAAGGATGATTTTTTAAAGAATTAAAGAAAAAAATTAAATTCACAAAAATAAGATGAAAGGCAGAATAAAGTTAATTTGTTAAAGAAGTTAATTGAGCATTTAAGATTTCATTATTCCATTATTTAAGATTTCATGGCTAAAAGTGATAAGTAACCAAATAATTTGTGCTGTATGTTCCAAAATTGATAAGCTACAGTTTAAAAAGGATTTGAATAAGTCTTTGTCCTTCTTACCTGTGTTTGGTTTCTCAAGTTCAAATCCATTGCACAATATTTGATTGACAAAATTAAAACATACCTAAAGAAAAATGTTAATTTGAGAAATTAACTTATTATATCCAGATCAAATAAAATGTGCCATGATGTTAAAATTTCAAATAATACACATTGGAAAAAAAATGGCTGAGCTATTGTAGCAAATACTGTAAATATTATTTTCAAAGGTAATTGTATTCTCATTTAGTGTTTTCCAAGTAAATTTCATGAGGACATGATTGTGAGTTTGTTTTTACGATGGACCAGTGAGTTTTCATTTCTTCTCAGGCCAAAGTCCACTCTACCCACCTGGCCTTAGAGCTCAGTAATGCTTGTCTTTGGTCATCAGAATTACACAGCCAGTCCGGGCACTGGAAAAACAAATCCAACCTCTGCCATACTCTGGGTGAGTCAGTCTCATTATTTTCACACTTTTAAAGGCAACAGCATAAATTATGTAACGTGACAGTTTAAACAGTGAGCACGCCCATGTGTCAAATTTGTTCCCAATATAAGTCTTGCAATCTGGGGACCAGGAGACCTCAACTTAAATTTGAATTCATGGATGGAGTTGCTAAATGAAAGGAGGTAACACACGAGATTTACAGAATTTATCATATCAGTATCCCCCTGCCCTTTTTGGAGACTATTCATGTATAATTTTGTAGACTTTAGCACATTTTTAGTTGACCACCAATTGCTCTAAAAATCTAAAAACTTATTCTTAACATTGGAAAGAAAAATATTCCCTTAACTGAATAGTATGTATTAATCAACAGGATCCAAAGCATTTGCAAATACCCACAAGAGAAGTTAAGGGGGGGGGGGGAAGCACAATCTTTAGATTGTAATTATTTTTGAAGCTAAACATTAAAGTTCCATAAGTCCTAGTAATTCTTGACAGGTTTTATCCATCAAATTGGTTAATATAAGTGGGATAGAGAAAATTCTTGATCTGCCTATAGATTTGGAATCCTAAGTAAGGGTTACATATTAGTGCCCAGAACATGGGCATTTACCTGGGTTACTTAGGTGGTTTTAACTGGGTTACTTAGACATTGGATATTCATTCAGTTGTCTTTAGTCCCTTCCTACTTAAGGGATAGTCCTTAGACTAACAGCACTGGCATCTTCTGAGAGCCAGACTCTTAACCTCCACCCCAGAAACAGAATCTGTATTTTAGAAAGACCCCTGGGTGATTTGTATGTACATTAAAGTTTGGAAAGCAGTGTTCTTGGTCGGTAGGGAGTTCAGTTTAGGATTGGAAATGCAGCTACCTGGGCCTTTCTGAAAATTTGCCCACCAGGGATTTTTATTGTTTTTCTTCTTTCTCTCACAGAAAGGAGAGGAGCACAGTAATTTTGCAAAAGATTAATAGTACCCACAGGACAAAGACGATGAATTCACCTGAACTTTGGAATCCTCCGGAAGTCCAATTTTGCTTTGATTTGGTCAACAATTCATGCCCTAGAAATGTGAGGTCTGTGCTGAGTGTGTGTGCCATGTATGTTGTCATGACTGGTGCTATAGTGATGACCATGTTGGGCAACCTGGTTGTGATCATTTCCATCGCTCACTTCAAGCAGCTCCAGTCCCCAACCAACTTCCTGATTCTCTCCATGGCCACAACTGACTTTTTGTTGAGCTGTGTGGTCATGCCCTTCAGTATGGTCAGGTCCATTGAGTCTTGCTGGTATTTTGGAGACCTCTTTTGCAAAGTCCACAGCTGCTGTGACATCATGCTCTGCACAACCTCTATTTTTCACCTCTGCTTCATCTCAGTGGATCGCTACTATGCTGTTTGTGACCCTTTGCATTATGTCACCAAAATTACCATCCCTGTAATAGAGGTCTTTCTACTCATCAGTTGGTCTATTCCAATTTTTTTTGCCTTTGGCCTGGTATTCTCAGAATTAAACATAGTTGGTGCAGAAGACTTTGTTGCAGCCACTGACTGCACAGGTTTGTGTGTATTGATATTCAACAAGCTCTGGGGGGTGTTGGCTTCCTTTATAGCCTGCTTCCTACCTGGGACTGTAATGGTGGGGATTTACATACACATTTTCAGCGTAGCCAGGAAGCATACTAAGCAAATTGACATGGCTCCTACCAGGAAACACGTTGGGTCAGAAAGCAAAATGAAAGTATCATCCAAAAGAGAAAGCAAGGCCACCAAGACTTTAAGCATAGTCATGGGAGTGTTTGTATTGTGCTGGCTGCCCTTTTTCATCTTGACAATCACAGACCCTTTCATTAATTTCACAACTCCTGAAGATTTGTACAATGTCTTCCTCTGGCTGGGTTATTTCAACTCCACTTTCAATCCCATCATATATGGCATGTTTTATCCCTGGTTTCGCAAGGCATTGCGGATGATTGTCACGGGAACCATCTTCCACCCTGACTCTTCTACCCTAAGCCTATATCCTGCAGATACTTAGGCAATACTCTCCATTCTGTAAGATTCTTTCCTGGTAAGGAATCTTGTTGGATGCTCCTCCTCAAAGGTAAGGCCATAAACTTACTGGATAAGCATATTCTTCCAGTTGGTGTTATGGACATCTATCTAAGTAGGAGCAATCGATCTAGTGTTCTAGGTTTACCAGAGCTACCAAAGTGGTTAATTTCTGGAGTTCTGGGGAAGGCATCTCCAATAAAAAACTCTGTCCCATGGCTTGCTGATTCCTGAATTCACAAAATTAGAGATTTAGAATTTCACTCCTTTGACTTAAATCAAATGGAGATCTTATTTTTTCTTATGAACATCAGAAGAGGAGACAGAGTTGGTCTTCACACTTATTGACAGCCAGAGTTTATCTAAATCTTTCATGAGACTATTGTTCTATCTTAGGGGAGCCAGGGAGAGAGCTTGAGAACATTGGGAGTCTGGATTATTTAGCATGTGATTGACTTGGAAGGGGAGAAGGAAGCAGACAGTTGTAGCTAGTTTCAATTTTTTTGGTTCTGACTTAAACCTCTTCTAAAAGCATTGATGTGAATTTTGTAATATTTTGGTAAAATTGGACTGTCTTACTGAATGAGAAGAATGAATAAATAAGAGTTTAGGAATGTATTCTTTCTCCCTCTCAATATGTAATTATATATGCTGTATATATTTACAGCCTGTGTATATACACATAGGTGGTATTTCCATGTCTTTGGGTGTCTGTGTGTACATACTAATTATTCACGAAGGTTGAGTTTCATTCACAACTGAAGTTCTTTCCCTACCCCATAGTTTTAAGATAATACTTAATGCTGCACATGTCTCTTCATGTCTTTTTTTTTTTTTTTGTCTTGCTCTTGCTTCTCCTACCCCATAAACTTATTTTGTCCTTTACAACCTTCTTTTCATCCTTCATACCATCCCTCTGTCTCTCTAATCTGGTGGTTCTCAATCAGGGACAGTTTTGCCCTTTGTGGCCATTCAGTGTCTGGAGATGTTTTTGGTTTTTACAACCAGGGAGGGATGCTACTGACACCTAGAGGGTAGAGGTAAGGAACACTGCTAAAGAGTCTACAATGCACAGAATATCCCCCACACTAAAGGATTATCTGGCCTAAGACTTCAATAGTTTCATGGTTAAGAAATCCTGCTTTAACCTTAGTTAACCTCACAGCTTCAATATTCATGTCTATATATCTTTCTCTCAAGTATATTTATTTGCAGCCTATCATTTCTTCCAAACTCAAGCCCTTCATTTCTTACTACCAATAGACTGCCATTTTGAATGTTCTACCAAGATCGCAAACTCAATGTAACCAGCATCTTCCTTCTATGCACACCCACCACCCCAAACCCATTTCTCTGACTCCTGCTTTGTGCCAGAGTTGAGTATGCACCGGTGTGTTGGTTCCTCATTAGATTGTAAGCTTCTTCTGTGGGACACTATGTCTTTATATTTTCCATTTTGTATCCCACAGTGCCTGGGATGGTTCCTTTCCCATTAAAATCTCTGAACATGTTCACTGGATAACTAAAACATATAAACTTTGAAGAACATGGGAGTTACTCAAATCCACCAAGATAAACAACTACAAAGCAAAGAATTCTAGGCAAGAAGGGACTCCTTCTCTTGGGAAAGAAGACGGAAGAAAAAGCCTATTTGTAAAGTAGAAATTGAACTGAATTTAATTCCTGTTTTCTTTGGTCACATGTGCACGATATTGTACTGGGGAACTGGGGGACAGAGCCAGAAAAGGCACATAGTGGAAAAGGACTTACTGACTCAGAAACATTTGCAACACTCAAAATGAAGCTTTCATGCTCATATAGTGAGATTCCCGAGAATAGAAGTCAGATCTTCCCTTCCTTTCCTAATGCCTCAGTGGCGGAAGTATTTTACTGAAAGTTTTGGTTATGTAGAAATATTGTTGAGGGGCGCCTGGGTGGCGCAGTCGGTTAAGCGTCCGACTTCAGCCAGGTCACGATCTCGCGGTCCGTGAGTTCGAGCCCCGCGTCAGGCTCTGGGCTGATGGTTCAGAGCCTGGAGCCTGTTTCCGATTCTGTGCCTCCCTCTCTCTCTGCCCCTCCCCCGTTCATGCTCTGTCTCTCTCTGTCGCAAAAATAAATAAACGTTGAAAAAAAAATTAAAAAAAAAAAGAAATATTGTTGATTATCTAATAGATTGACAGATTGGGAAATTTCATAAATGGAGATGTTCAATAGGACTCTTCCAGCCAAATAGACTATATCTGCAAATAGTTTGTGTGTGGCTGATGTGATTTATTTATAACTTTTGCTTATTTTTGCAAGAAGTAAGGTTGCTTTTCATAACTTTCAGACACTGGTATGTTGCAAAGAGAAATCTTGTTACCATTAGCATAGGCTTTAATATTAAGTGCATTTTATTGCAGTAATTTATTTTCTTTTATTTTTGAGGGGGGGGGGAGGTGGGGCAGAGGCTCTGAAGTGGGTTCTGTGCTGACAGCCCAGCTGATGTGGGGCTTGAACTCACAAAACAGTGAGATTATGACCTGAGCCAAAGTCAGACGCTTAACTGACTAAGCTACCCATGTGCCCCTACAGTAATTGTTATAGTAATATCAGAATATTTGGTTAATCAAACCCCCTCCATTCTTTGACCTGGCTAAATGATATCACACATCCATGCAGGACATCTTAATACTTAAAGTTTCTAATGTCCATATACATATATATAAATCCTAAATGCTGTTTATGAACCTTTTTGCCTTTTTGACTCTATCCCCACTCTAGACTATCTATTAGGAACAACTCATTATTCCAAAATACATTTAATAACATCTCTATTCAGTTGAGAATTCCCAATACTCTCTGGATCTACATGTTCTGTTGAATATTTATAGCTTCCTGAGGCCAGTACTTGTAATTTAACCATTTAGATATAGCATATTTAGATCCTGAGATGTTTTGGCAAATTATTATTATTATCATCATCATCATCATCATCATCATCAAAGGACAGTATTTAAAATCATAATTAGGTTTCAAGATGCTTGGTAAAGTATTGGTTTATTCTTTAATGACTACAGTCATTTAATCCTTCAGGAGGAGATTTCCTCTGCCCCTAATCCCAAACACGACATTCCAGAGGCTAATGGTACTCCTTCCTTTTGAAGACTCAAAGAAACAGGAGGAGTTCCTTGGTCTTTACGCCAACATAGACCTCCTTCCTGGGTCAGATGGGTCAATAGATAGAGCACCATATGATGGAAAGAGTATTTTACAATCTGCTTCCCATGATGAGCCTCTCTTCCTTTTTTGGGATTCAACAAGGTTATTTGCACTGCTAGCACTGAGAGACTGAATGAGAAGGACAGCCATTTACTCGGTATATGTGCATTTTCTCATTTGACCCTCAGCATAGCATAAGGATGGGGCACCTGGGCAGCTCAGTTGATTAAGCATTTGACTTCGGCTCAGGTCATGATCTTGCAGTTCACAAGTTCGAGTGCCATGTCAGGCTCTGTGCTGACAGCTCAGAGCCTGGAGCTTATTTCAGATTCTGTGTCTCCTCTCTCTCTACCCCTCCCCAGTTCGTGCTCTGTCTCTCTGTCTCTCAAAAATAAACAAAACATTACAAAAATTAGAATTACACAAAATGGTTGACTTAGTATCAAGGAACTCGGATCTGTGGCCACAGGCCACATTTTCTCTTGCCCACTAAAAGCATAGCTAAATAGAGGAGAAATGAAAGAGCATATGGAAGCTTCTGCTGCAGTCATAATCACTCCCTACCTTCATAAAGCACTTCTGTAATTTACAAAGGATGTCCATGAACATCAGCTCAATTGTTTCTCAAAACAGCTCCACCTTCTCTTCCCTAGAGGAAGGTGGCTAGTCCGAGGAAAAGTGAATCATTCCATTATTATTACAAACCCAGTGCTCTTCTTTCCAGAATGTATTGAGGTTGAATAGAGCAGCCATTATCCCAGGAGGATGGTGGCTGCCATGGACAGCCTATATTAAAAGCCACTCAGTTCAATAAACATTTACTGAGCATCTACTATGTGCCAAGTACTACTCTGAGTGTTTTTTGTTCAGAGACACATAAAGCTGAAATCCTGGCCTTAAGGGGCTCATGGTCTAATAGGAGAGACATAGCCATTCAATTACCCTGCATGGTAATATATCTTATGATAGAGCCAGGCACAATAAGCTACAGAATATGGAGGAGGAAAATTTTGCCTGGCTTGGGGTGTAGGGAAGACTGCATTTTAGGCCGAAGGAATGTGTCATCACATTGAGTAAAGGAGATGCTTCCTACCACTGAACTACCTAATCTTCCTAGCACTCTCCATAACCTCTAGCTTAAATCCCCTGTTCAAGAGATTAGCCAACTTTTCCAAGATCATAATATTCAAAACCTGGTGTATCTCTTGGTAAATCCCACATTTTTTTTTTTTGCCTCATCTACTGCTAACGTAGGTTTTCCCTTTCATATGCATTTAATTGATCTTGACTGGATTGCAGAGGGGCTATGAAAAACAGGAAATCTTGTTCTGCAATTGCTTTTTTATTTGTGTCCTCAAGAGAATTGCTTTTATTATTCTTTCTGTTAAAAAAAAAAAAAGAAAAAGAAAAAGAAAAACCTGACTTTCTTAGACCTTAGTCATCAATGGTGATTACTGTTTCAGATTGCAAATATGAATAGAGGCAATTCTTAAAAACTTACTGACTGCCTGTCTCAAATATTGCTAGCATTTATGGGTCCCTTGGGTATCATCAGTTAGATTATTTTCTTTTCTAGAATATCTCCTAGTAACCTTTATCTCTCCTGGACCAACACTCACAGCTTATCTCAAAGGAGTCAGACATTGCTTTGGGGGAGGGGGGAACATTAATATTCTTGTCTTATAGCCTACTCTAGTAGCTTTAGCATTGTTAAATAGCAAAACTAATTGTTAAGATCCTAAATCTAAACAACACTTTTGACTACCTTATAAATATTCCACTTTCTCTTCTGTCTTGTTTCTAAAATATAAAGCCTCTTTGATGAAAGCTGTACAAATGGAACATCAATGAATCCCAAGATGAGCAAGAAAATCTAGAGGATCCAAACCCCAATTAGTTTTGCTCCCAGTTGTTATGTACCTGGAGTATATTTCTGAAAGTCAGTCTGGAAGAGGGGATCAGAGCCCTAACTTGGGAGGGTTAACACAGAATCGGGACTAGTATCTATTCCCACTCTTGTCTGTCCAGCTTGCCATGTAACAGGAACCATTCTTAACACTCATCCATCTTCATGACAAACTTGTGGTTGTAGGTATTGTATTATATTCAATTAATAGATTAGAAAACAGGGCACAGAAGGTTAGGTAATCTCTGACAGAGGAATCACACATGTGCTTGCATATTGCATTTCAGGTTTGATGCAATATATCCCCCAAACAAACAAAACACAAGACCCTTTTTGAGAGTTTCCTTCTTAGGCCTTTTTTTATTTAGAAGACATTTGTCCTTACTTTTCACAAACTCTTGGTCAGATTAGACTTAGAGCCATGGGAATCTCTGCCTGATTGCAGGGTGGATTAGGATTTATGAATCAAAAGGTGTCAC